CCTTGAAGACATAGGGGTAGGTAGAGAATTCATGAACAAGACTCAAACCGCACAGGAAATACTTCCTGGAGTCAGTAACTGGGATCCCAAATTATTAAAAAGTTTCTGCACGTCAAAAGAAATCTCTAACATAGTGAAAAGAAAACCCACAAACTGGGAAAAAATCTTAGTGAACTGCCTCTCAGACAAAGGACTTCTGTCTAAAACATATAAAGAATTTTAAAAAATCAGACCCCATCCAAAAATGGGCATCTGAGATGAATAAAAAATTTTCAGATGAAAAAATACAAATGGCAAATAAATATATGAAAAAATGTTTATCATCATTAGTCATTAGAGAAATGCAAATTAAAACCACACTGAGATTTCATCTCACTCCTGAAAGCATGGCCAAGATCAAGAAAACCACCAACAACAAATGCTGGAGAGGCTGCGGGGGAAAAAGGAACTCTTCTGCACTGTTGGTGGGAGTGTAGACTAGTGCAACCATTGTGGAGGTCAGTCTGGAGATTTCTCAGAAAGCTGGGACTGGAAGCCCCACTTGACCCAGCTATTCCACTTCTAGACATATCCCCAGAAGAGCTGAAAGCATCATACCACATTGATATATGTGCACCCATGTTTATAGCAGCACAATTTGTAATAGCCAAATCTTGGAAACAACCTAAGTGTCCATCAACTGAGGAATGGATAAAAAAGTTGTGGTATTTTTATACAATGGAGTACTACTCAGCTATAAAGAATGATCACATTGAGACATTTATAAATAAATGGACACACCTTGAGACCATACTCATAAGTGAAATAAATCAAACTCACAGGTATAAATACCGAATTGTTTCCCTAGCGTAAGTAATGATAAGAATACATAAAAGTACGTGGTAATCATGGTCCCCAGTCACACTGGTTTGAAGCCATATAACATTTTCACTCATTAATTGGAATGGTTTTAATCTGGATTGTTTTATATTATTGTCTGCGTTACTACGAATAGCTATTTTGAAGAAATAAGACAGCGTAATAGCTAGTGCTGATTTAATATCATCCTGTTTTGAAGTTGTTCATCTGTTTCCATTAGTTTTAACATGTTGTATCTTATTATATTTTAATGTATGCAATAATATAAGCAACATTTTTTTTTAATTTTTTTTTTGGCTTTTTCATTTTTATCAGTACCAGGGATCGAACTCACGACCGCCTGCTTGCAAGGCAGGTGCTTACGCCGCTGAGCTAAATCCCCAGCCCCCATAAGCAAAAAATTTTATAGGTAAAGAGATCACATAGAAACCAAAGTTCGGTTTCTGTTAGCTGGTTCTAAATACCCTGCAATACTTTTATTCTCTTGAATGGTTTCACACTGTCTTGATAAGTTTGATGCTAGAGTATATGAAGTTAGACTCAAATATTTCCAGGAGAGATACTATGGTAACTACTATTACTGTCAGGCTATCTGGTGGTGAAACACAATGATGCTTAAATTGTTCAGTTCTGACCTGTGTTGTGCTATTGATATGCTCTTTTTTTATCTCTATCTCCCCACCCCCTTTTTTTAAAAAATTAATTTATTTCTTAGTATCTTTTAATTAAGGGAAAACTAAATTAAAAATAGCAGGATATATTATAGTAACTTTTTTGTTTTCCTATTAACCTGATTTGAACCCTTGTATGGTTCTCCACATCTTGTTCTGAGTGATTTTATTATATTCTGTTTTGTTTAATAGTATCAAATTTGAGGGTATAGGCAACCACTCTGAAGGAACCAGATACTCTATGATGCCCATTATGGTTTGACTATTATCTTCTTTGGGAGTCCTGCAAGGTCTCCAATGTGGGTTTTACTGGTCTTATTCTGTACTATTTTGTTCAATTATTTTATACCAGCTGATATAGGGCACCTCTTTGTAGGATAACAAGAGGCATAATGGTAACCATTATTGATCACCTAGTAATCTTTTTTAGCATTATATACTATGTCCATCCTCCTGTTCTGACTCTGTTTTGCTTTGTCACATTGGGGTGTTTTTTTTTTTGTTGTTCTGTTCTGTCTTGTTTCTTGTTTTATATATTTTTTTTCTTTTCCTCTTTAAGGAAAAAGTTATAAGAACTGTGGGAGTAATGGAACCCAAAATGTGTGATTGTCAGCGTAAAATAGGGAGGAAAGAAAGTGATCTAAAGGATATAACTGCAAGAGTATTTAAGAGTGTAGGATAGAAAACCACATTACTGAGTTTTTGTTGGATCACTGAACAGAACTGTCTGCAATCTCACTGTATTAATGTCCACTTTGTATGCTTTAATTTTGTAACCTGGACAACTGTTTCTGAGATGACAATATGTAATCTATTTATTAGTGAATTCTTACTGTATATTTTTTCTCTTGAAATTCTGTATTACTTGTAGCCTTTTACTGTCTTGCTTTGTCTTGTTTTGTTTTTCTCTTTAAATAAAAAAAAAGATAGAAACTAATACAGTGTGCTTATGCTGATGAATGCAATCCAGATGGAGTGGAGCGAGAATTTTGAAAATACAGAAAAAGAAAGAATATTACATTGTTGAAGACAAGATGTATAAAACTCATGTGGAAGGACCAGTTTCAAGGAAGAAAAGCAAAGTACCTAAGGGAATTCCCCCAAATTTCATTATCTAGTAAGACGGGAACTGAAACTGAAGGATACAGAATGAAAGGTAGACAGTGACCTCTCAGCGATAAATCTATAAACGCCATCGTAAGAACACAACACTAACCCTTCTCTTTTCCTAAATAACACCTTTTTTTGAGCTACCACTGAGGAATCTTGTGGCCATGACTCCAGGGCACTGTGGGGTAGCACTGGGGACACCTGCAAAGTAGTCAGTCATGCCCACAAACACCAGGAGAATCCAGTGGATGGATACAGTAAGTACCTTTTTCACAACTTCTGACTCCATCCTAAGGTCTTTCCATGTTTTCTTTCAATTCTCTTGAATTCATCAGTAACAATGAGATTATTCTTTTTCACAGTGTCTTTTAAATTTTTTTATTTATTTTAGTTAAGCACTTGCATACTGCCCAGGCTGACCTGAAACTCCCGGACTCAAAGGGTCTTCCTCCCTCAGTCTCCTGAGTAGCTCAGACTACAAAGTTGCTCCACTGCCCCAAGCCTGTTATTTACTATCTTTAACATGTATGTGATTTTCTCAGTACTTAAGACATCTAGTCTATAGACATCTAGTCTACAGATTCAAGTATCTCACAGCTTTCCTTACTATCTAAACTGGCTATATTTGCATACTATCTATATTTACATACTATCTACATTTGCTGATAATTAGCAAAATCTTAACTCTGGCTCTCCCCTGCCCCATAACCTGCAAACTCACATTCCCACCATGCTTTCTATTCAGCATCTTTAACTGGGACAAAGGGCCCGCAGGTCACCTCAAACCTGATAACTGTACAACTGAACTCAGCATCTCCTCACCCCATCCTCATATAAACTCCTTTGCCAACACTAAAAGGATTCTCCAAGGCAGAAAGTTAGTTTATTCTGGGATCTTCTACTTCATACCCCAAATTCCCCTCAATCACTACATCTTACCAATTTTATTTTCTTCAAACTTGCATCTACCACCCATGTTACTCTTGGTTCAAGTCACCATTCTTGTGCACCTAGCTGACTGATACCACCTTTTCAATTGTCTCCATACCTCCAACAGTACTATTCCAGAACTTCAGGGTATTCTCTCTACACTGCATTCAGCATAGTACATTTTCCTCAAAACAGCTGAATGCCCCTTCCCAGTTTCCCTGATGATAAAACACTCAACCTGCAGCATGGCCCCCAAAGACCTTCAGGGTCTATCCCATTCTTGTCTCAATGACCACACTCTTTACTCACCAGGATCTCTCACTCCTGCCTGTTTGCTCCTTCAGTTCTGTTTAAGGCTTCTTAACCCTTCTCCTCATTCCTGTTCACAACTATAAGGAGCTGCTTTGAGGCATACAATAGCTGGAAAGTTTTCCAAAGAGTAAATCTGTAAGTGGAACTGGAACTCATCTCACTGGGGATGTAAATGGAGTGGAGAAAGTACACTAATCAAAAAGTACTCACCAGACTTTCTCTGAAGGAGCACTCCATGTAAGACGGTAACGTGGAGAGCACAATGGGAAACACCCAGACAGGAAAACTACACACACTCTAAGAAGGCTGAGATCTGCCCTGATAAGCTTCTGTCTTGCTGACTGTGGACTGTAATTCTGCCTAGAACTAGACTCCAGAGAACAATGCAGAAGGCCTGACAACCACTCTCACTTTCTCCACAACTACCAAGAATTATGCTTGGTGTCTCCTCTAAATAAAAGCTGAACAAACAAATATGTTTAAGTTCCATCTCCTCCCCCAAACCCTCTGCTACCATAAAAATGGCACTAACTGCTCTGAACTCCCGTTTCCAACTTGTTTATCCTCATAACTAGGCTGTAAGGTCAGGGATTGAATACTAAATGTGATTCTATCTATTGACCTATTTGTTTATTTAACGTATGAAAACTCTGTTACTTAGATTTGATGAGATGTCCAAGTTCACAGGGGATTAGGACTGGTTTTAAGAAAGGATAGTCCAACTCTAGCATTCGTATTGAATAAGCAGTAATTATGATGCTTTCTGAATAGTTGACTCACACTCAAAAGTGAGAAACTGCAATGAAAATTAACCCAAAAAACCAAATAGAGGCTATTGTTTACTTACTTCTTGATTTCTGTTCCTCCCCCATTGTCTGGTTCATTCAGTAAGAACTTGGCTCACAGTTATTCCATGAGCAGAACAGAGTGCTATGAAGCAACACTGCAGACACCTGGAGATGGCATTGACTGTATTGACTGATTTCTCAACAAGAAATTGATGTGGAATGGAAGAACATAGAATGTATTTCTTAAACCCCAGTGAATAGTGAATATCTATTAACCCATTGAATCCACAGGAATCCAAAGTGGTATCTAAAGCAGTCCAGAAATACTCACTTCTCTTGGTGATCTCGAGCCCCCTTCCCGAAATGTTGGCTTACATCTGAAATTAATCTGTCATATAAAAATAAAAATACATTACGTTAGGAATAAGCATCAGATTAGGTTGAATCATTTGAAAAAATCAGTAGTAATAGGTACTGAGACAGTAATACCCAAAGAATAACAAACTAACTCTATTCTTAGTCCACAGAGAGGTCAAGTGATTTCATGCCTAAATCCAAATCCCTTCATTCTTAGTGATGAAATCAAAGTATCTGTAAGTAATAATGCTTTTAGACTAACATTTAGAGAAACCAAGGTAAGACAGATTCAGAGAAAAATGTATGATAGCTGAAATCACCCAGCTGGGTTTAAGATTTTAAAAGTAGAAAATATAAACTTGAAAAATTTTAACTATTGTGAGAATTATTCAAATTAGCCAAAATTATTCTCTGTTAAGGATTCAACCCTGCCCTTTAGAAAGGAAGGGCTCCTGGTTGGTAATCTGCAATCCTCTAATGCTGGATAAAATTAAACAAGCATACAATGAGAGAGAAGATGAATGAGTGGGGTTGCGATAAAAAACAGTGAGTTAAATTTGAGTAGCACGGTCACAAGATATTAGTGTACAACAGCTGCAATGTGTCAGGGAAAAGACATGAATGAGAAAATAAACTAAAGGTCATGGAATTAAAATGTTTCAGCACATTCATGCATGGCAGCTCAAGATTCTAGACTTTGCAAAGAGAATTACATGTGGCACTGAAGTAGGAGGTATGAGACAGAGGACCACAGGCTGTCTAGAGGAGTCTTTCCTTTGTCCTACACAATAAGGAAATGTACACTGCAGAACCCATGTCTTCTGGGCCCAGGCACCCTGAGGAGTCACTTCCAGCACAGACACTGCATAGGAAGCCACATAAGAGACTGAGGGCTGCTTTAGGGTTCTGCTCTCTCCTTTGCAGCCACTTAAAGAAGAAGTGAAAAGACATGTAAACTATTATCTTGAGATCAAAGCTGCTGCAACTGTTTTCTTAACGAAACATTTTGTTCTGAAGCAGAGATTATACTGGAAGAGAATTAGTGCAAACCAGGCTCTTCCCTCTAGTTTCATTATTTTCCACAGGAATCAAACTAAATGATATCTAGTAATGCTTCAGCAAACAACAGATTAAATGACCCATAATCATTGTTTTTTTAATTATTAATCTGGTAATCTTGTTCCACTTCTAGGTTTTTAAAGGGACACTAAAAAAAATGGAAGTAGAACTGGACACCGGCCATCCATATGTAACTAGAGACCAGCTTGCAATAAATATGAGCAGCAGCAGGTGGCGCCCTCTTACCTTTTCTAGCTGCTCGATGCAGGCAGTGTGGACCACGATTTTACAAACTGCACACTTCCTCCTGAGAGCGGATTTCTACAACGCACAAGTCAAAATACATGAAAGAAATGTTAACACTCCATTCTGGGAACTTCTAGAGCATCCAAAGGAACATACAGAAGTAAAGCAAACACTGAAATTATTTCTATTACTAAGCAAATGTAAAACTTCATCTTAAACACTAATGTGACACGTCACCAATCATCTTGACTCACCAAGCAATTCCATAGCTACACAGTTTCCACTGGCCTAGGAACATCTCTCTGACTGTGACAATAATCCTAGCGGCTACATACTGAGCACACAGCATAAACTAAGCTCTTTATTGTGCTATGGTACTTCTAAGTTTTATGATATAACAGTGGTATCACTGTTATCCTCTTCTTTTCACACATATTTTACATTTTCACTTAAGTAGTTAACATGTCAACATGTTTACTTAGGTCTGCCTTCAAACCAAGCATCCTTTCTATGCTTCCAGACAGACTGCATTTCAAGAGGTGGGGTAAAACGCACAACTAGAACAAAGAACAGTAGTAGAGGTAGTAATTAGAAGTGGCAAAAATAATAAAATTCTACTTTGCAAACTGTCATCATTGACATATCCTGCCTGGTGCTCTCCTGATTCCTATGGATATGCTGGTTGGATCACGGCCTGCAAGCACCACCTGCAGAAAGTGTATGGAGTATTTGAGTCATGTCGCTCATCAGAGTTATGCTAGTGGTAAGGGAACTGCAGTTTATTCTACAACATTTCTCACCTGCTGCAACATCCCTGCAAGACTTCACAAAGCAGAAGAAAGTAACCAAGGTGTGGGTAGCTGTATGTGGGCTAGGACTTAACAGTGCCTAAAAAGCATCTTTCCTTATCAGCGACTCCCAGCTCTACCTGGCTCTGTGTCCACCATTAGGCTCTGCATGCACTGGAGCTGCAGGGATTCTGGAGGCTTTTAAGAACAGGCTAGGAGGGGAACATGGAACCCTGCAGATGCTCAGGCAGCCTGCTCACCCTTGCAACCAGAAGAGTTTTTCCACGCTTTGTATTCCCTACCAAAATTCTGAGTCAAAGTCTTTTCTGAACAAAGGATATGAGCTACATGATTTTGGGAGCCAATGGGGTAAGATGTATTATCTCTTAGCTTTTTGGGATGACATGCAAAGATCATTGATCAAGAATAATTCAAGTTGGGCCAAGGATTTAGCTCAGCAGCATAAGTGCCTGCCTTGCAAGCTTGTGGTCCTGAGTTCAATCCCCAGTACAAAAAAAAAAAAAAAAAAGTAATTCAAGTGTAATGTTCTATGATGTCAACATATGACATAAAAGGCTGTAAGAAAACTAACTTTAATTAAATAGTACTAAATTTTAAAAGATCCCCTTAAGATATATTGCAAGGTTCTGTGCCTCTTGGGCAGAATACACAGACCATAATCTGAATTTTCCTTCATAAACACTGCATAACACATTGTTCTACATAGACAAGTCCTTTTGCTGTTCCTGTCTTTCTGCCCTACTGAAGCTCCTTTGAAATCACTGTTCCTGTCTTTTATTCCCTCCATCCTCCTAAATGACAGTTTCTATACAACTGTGAGTCTGAAAATCAGATAATTAAGGTTTATAATAACATACATTAAGTGAATAAGTTCTGATTGAAGGCCTGAGGGCTTTTTATTTTCTAATTATGAGCATGGATTTTAGTTCTTCAATTGATGCAAACTCTCAGTGGGTCCAAAATCTTTACTGCTGACTTACTGGTTTATGAGTAGGTTTGAATGGGGGGAAGCTATTTGAAGTAGTTGGGTAATAACCTTTTGGGCAGCAACTTCCCAAAACATAATGAAGTTTTGTGTATAATTATGTTACAATCTTTATTTTGAAAGTTTAAGTCAAATACAGGAAATACAGTATGCAGTATACAAGGATCTAGATCGTTTAAGCCCTGGGAAATATTTCTTTTTTCCTAAATAACCATTACATAATCTACTATGGAAAGTGATGACTTAAATCCATTAACAAATTATTCAATATAGTTGTTACTCTTCATAATGGCACACAGTTGTTATAGAACCGAGCACAAAGATATAATTTTTTAAAGAAACATTACTTGAGACAATAAATGTGTTTTGTTTAACAATTAAAATTATAAAACTTTACCAGTTAGCTTTCATCAGTGAATTTATTTGGGCTTATTACTTTAAATAGCAAGAAAAATCATCTTAGCACCCTTAACAAGCATTCTCTGATTTAATCAGTGCTGATATTCAAAGAAACCCATTAATCGCTGTAGGGGGCATCTTTGCAAAGACTAAAACAAGGTGGAATGTAATATCGACCATATTGATCGTATCACTTCGATCTAATAAATACATGATCAGCACCTCCTTGAGCCACCTGGGATAGAAGAGAAAATACACTCAAGGCTGTGCTTGACTCTGCATTATTCCCCAAATACAGACCCCTGGTGCAGCTCCCACCCAGCACAGAAGTGAAACTGCCACAGCCCTAGGGCCCTGGGGCTGAGGCTTGCAGGGACAGAAGACACAGGGAAACAGTGTCAGTAATGGGCTTCATATCTAATCCCATTCTGTTCAGCTGCAACCCTCAGCTGCTTTTCCTGATCTATATGTGATATCATAAAATCTATTTTCAATTCCTTTGAGAAAGACATGATTTAAGCTGCTGCAATGAATACATGGTGGCAGTTACTAGAGTATGATAGGAAAAGAAAAGGGAGAGAAGGGAGGGAGGGACAGAGGGAGGAAAACAAAAAAGATGAAAACAAGGGAGAGATGGGAGGGGAGATGAAGGAAGGAAAGGAGAGGAGAGCTGAGGAGGAGAAGGAAAAGGAGGGAGGGGAAGAAAGTGGAAACAAAAGGAAGAGAGAGGAGGGAGGAGGAGAGGAAAACAGGGAGGGCAGAGGCAGGGCAGGGACTTGGGTAACCTAGTTTCATAGGCCTGTAATTTATTAAAGATTAGAGCCTCTTGCTGCCCAAGATAACCAAAGTGTTTATCATCCCAACAGTCTGAAGTCTGACCCCCTAGAAACAGGAACCACAAGGCTCCTTTCCAGCAAGGGACACAGTCTGAGTTATACTGCCCACTGGCCATTCAGTCCTCAGAACCCAGCTGCCCTTCTCCACTTCCTCAGGCTCAATCACCAGACATCCAAAGTGGGGAAGGTAGCAGAAACTGCCTGTTTGGCAAACTTTTCTTGGTTTCCCTGGCTCAGGAGCACTAGGAGGCCACAGCCTGCCCCAAAATAAAAGTAAAACGAGGGCTTGGAAATCTCACCTAGACAGGGAATCACCGCTTCCACAGATCCCTACAGGAAAGGAAGCTACAATGAACATGAGACAGAGGGCATATGAAGTAAGGATACCTGATGTGGGAAGAGCCCAAGAGGCACTCTGGAGAAGGTCTGATGGGCTAGGAAGAGGGAGGGCTGAGGTGCTTGAGTGGGCTCATCTTCCAGCCACCTCCCAGCCTTCTCTTCCCAGGACATCTTAGTCCTCAGGTTCAGCCACAGCATTGCAGAGAAGGGAGCAGGGAGGATCCTGATAGCCCAGGCTGGGCTGGCTGCTCTCTTTTCCTCTCTGCACATGGGGCTGTGCCAATGCTTAGTAAAGAGCTAGGAGGAAACTTCCAGAGCCTTTAGAATGTCAGGAATTCAGTGTCCTTTCCAGGACTGTTTCTGTGGGCAACATAAACAAAAACACTGTTGCTGTATAATCCAAGATAAATGAAAACAAAGGTTCTCTGATTTATTTAAAATCGAATTAGAAGAAATGACAAGCATACTTGGCAAGTCCTGCTTCTCTGGGGAGCCTGGCATGCAATCTGTAAATTGGTATTAGGGAAAATGGGGAATGACAGTATCTGAAAAGTTCCATCTGCATGATTTCAGAGCCTAAGTCCAGTGTCCCATCACTTGTATTGGCTCTGTTTGTCCCCCGACAGATCTCAGAATACTTCAGACACATCAGAAAGGCAGCCACTGAAGTTTCAGCACAACCTGTGAAAGGTCCTCAGAAGATTGCAAAATTCGTGACAGAGGAGCATGTGCTCTCCAATCAAGGAGCAAAGATACACGTGTCCAGAGGAATATGTGACCCAGGGGGAACTCAGAGCTCTGTGGAGGGATGGCTTGATCAGACTAGCCGTGTGCTGGAGGGTCCCAGTCCTCTGACTGCATACAGCCCATGCTAGGGAGGCAGCCTTCATCTGTCAACACCCATCTGCACCATTTGCGCCATGTCCTCTACACAAAGAGTTGGGCAGGGCTGAGTCCTCATGAAGCAGCCCTTCACCATCGACAGTTAGATAATAAGTAATGCCCATGGTAGCTCAGAACATCTGAAAGCAAAAGCAGCTCAAAAATAGATGTAGAATCCTTGCAAGTGAGTGCACCAAAACACTTACGCCAAGCTCCTATAATGTCTTCATACCTGAACCTATTCGTGTTGTTATCTTTAGGTGTAATGGTGTGAGATGTCCTACTTTCCATGTGGCAGGAGCTTCCCAGTAAATTCCTAAACTTACTACAGAAAGAGGTGCACAGTTGTTGGGTATGGTAACACATAACTACAACTCAGGTTACTCAGGAGACTGAGATAGCCTAGCCAACTTAATGAGATCTTGTCTCAAAACAACAAAAAATACAGAAAGGACTAGGAGTTTCACTCAGTGGTATAGCACTTGCCCATCATGCATAAAACTCAGTGTTCAATCCTCAGTACCTCAAAAGAACATACACATTTGAAAAATCGAAGACATAGTAGCAAGGATGATCCAAGAGAAGAGTCTAAGTGTCATCCTTTAGTGAAAAAAGGATTTGAGACAGGCTTGAGTACATCTGCCTTGGGCACAGAGTTTCTGTGTCCACAGGTGTCCAATTGCATGAGCTGTTAGACACAAGGTTTGGCAATTGATTGTGGAGGTCTGATTGTGTGCAGATGCACTTGGCATCCCATAGATGTGGGGAGTGTGTACACTTGCTGTGCAGTGAAGCTAAAGACCTATGCCACCAGATCCATCAGAA